ATCAACGTGGAAGAATGTCACAAACATATGTCTGTCAAGCGAAAAGAGGGAGATAAGTGGAGGGCAAGAATTTACGTGACTAATGAGAAAAATCTCGATTAAGGGTCGGCAGTACCCAGGCACAGATTAATAGACAGATCGCCAAAGGCCTGCCTAAAGAAGAGACCGCCATCTTCGTGCGATAGACTTTGCCCCTTACCGACACACTTTGCCCCTGGTTCGAGTCCGTGCTAAATTTCGTAGACTTGAACCAAAAGACTTTGCCCCTGGTTCGAGTCCGTGCTAAATTTCGTAGACTCGACCAAAAGACTTTGCCCCTGGTGCAAGTCCAGGCTAAATTCGTTTCACATTACCAACAGACTTAGCCCCTGGTGCGAATCCAGGCTAATTGATCATGAGACCAATTTGAGAGATTTGGCCCCCGTTGTGTGTGTGTGTGTGTGAGAGAGAGAGAGAGAGAGAGAGAGAGAGAGAGAGAGAGAGATATTTTACATATGCATATATATATATATAAAATTTATTAAATATAAAAAATATATATATATATTTTATAAATTAAACTTCGGCTAATACAATTAAAATATGTGATATAATAAAAGGCCAACTTAACGAGCTTATATGCTATTAATTGAAAAATTTTATTTATTAATTTACGTCATACTATACAAAAGTTACGATAAACGTTTCGACTGTACGACAGTCTTTCTCAATATCCTAATAATATGTTAAAAAATTAATTTAGTCATTTCGACATCATAAATAAATACAACAATTATAAGATTATATGACGAACGCAGTACAAATTCATGTTTGTTGGCATGAGTTAGAGCGTCAGATGCTGTTATATTATGTATATAACGACACTGTGAACAAATTAATATATCCGCTCAAATATTACCTTTAGATTTTTAATAAATAGTATTAACTTACTTTTTTGTCAACGAACATAACACTTTTTTTAAAAAATTATTTCTTTTTACTTAACATAATCACAATGTGTACTTTTTTAAAAAACAAATCGATGTCTGTATCTTACAATGTCGGCGCGCTGTATATATACCCAATTTTTAAGATGACGTAGACAATTTTTTTAGAATATCATAATAACTCCGGTTTCAGTGTTGCCAACGCCGAGAAACCAATTCTCGGGTTTTATGTAGTGGTGTATGTCTGTACACGTACATACACCACTGCATCGCTCACGCGGACGCACGTAAGAGAAACAAGAACCGATAATCACGTGTTCTCTTGTTCCTCTACCGTGCCGGTATACGCGAGATGCCACCTAAAAATGCTTTCTGGCCTTCCGTAGCAGAAAGCAGTAACGTAGCAAGACTAATAAGCACCCATTTTTGTAAATTTTATATATGCTTATGCACATATGTGGATATATTATTTATATATAAATATATATAAAAATAGTGTATATATATATATATATATATATATATATATATAATATACTAATTTACTCTCAATTATATATGCTACTGTTATAATTTATCATTAGACAATTATAAAACAGAGGTTATAGATTTGGTCTGACTACACTGGCCTCAAATTAAAGTTGTATATATATTTATTTTAACGTTTCGACCATACGGGATGTGGTCCTTTTCAAAAATACAGATTGGAATATCAGAGAGTTACAGCATTTCGTCTTTAAGATGTAAGCGCAAATTATGATTCGGAGAGATTTAACTTGTCAAATAATAAAATATAAAATAAATTATAAAATATATATACATATATAATTTGTAGTGCTATATATATATATATATATATATATATATATATATATATGTGTTTTATAATTGTCTAATGATAAATAATAACAGTAGCATATAATTGAAAGTAAATTAGTCTACAATCAATTAAAATTAATATCAATCAAAATTAATATTTGTCGCTAGTGGTGAAAATAAGCTTAATAAACGACTTGACTACGACGTAACTAGCAATTTTATTTGATTATTTCACAATATGTGAAATATTGTGAAATAATCAAATAAAATTGCTAGTTACGTCGTAGTCAAGTCGTTTAAGCTTACAATTAGTCTACAATGTTAGACACGGGTACTTGTTAGATTTGATAATTTATTGCTTATATTTTTTCGAGAGACAAGAATAAGAGAACGAATATAAATTATTATTAGCTTGTATAGCAATCATAGATTGACGAATATGCGTTGGTTATTCTTGATTTCTTTTCTATTATTGATGTTATTGTATAATTTGCTCCATAAATACTTATAACATAAAAGAACTTATGTCGAGTAATATTGATCAATGCAGTAAATTATTAGAGTTCAAATATATCAATATCAATTTTTTAATAATATATTGGAATACAGAGAAATGATAAAAAAATATATTTCGGCAATAAAAATTTTATAAATATATTGAAAATATTTTTACTACACGCGCGCGTGCGCACACACACACACCCACATACACACTATATAAATGCAAAATAATACTGTAGATAACTATAAATATATAGAAAATTAATTAATTATAATATATAAAATTGATGTAACTCGTGAATAATACAAATATTTAAATTTCAAAAATATTTTTAGGATTACTCGATCAGCGGCTTAATGGGACATTGTTATTTTGAAAAGTGCGATTTTGTAGAAGCTATTCGCTGCTACGAATTTTCTAACGCGATGTATAATCGACCGGACGATTTGCATCTCGTACAAACGAGGTAAAAATGTTTGTCTCGTTGCATTACGTAAGATGATTGAAAGAGAAGACGAGTTATTAATGACAGCATTACACAATGTCGATAGAATGGGACTGTATTACAAAGATATTGGCAATTACGAGCGCGCGTTAAAAGTTTTCCTCAACGCATGCCAGACTTCACCGACGGCAGAAACGTGGCTAGGTGCGGGAATCGCTTTTTACGAGGTAAATTCAATAATAAAAATAAAATCCAATAATAATAATGCAAATAATATGAAATTAAGATAAGGCCCGTGTATAAATTAAAATCAAACAATCCAACAATAAGCCAACTTGCGGGCCAAAAGATTAAGAAGTTACAAGATTCTTTATTAAAGATATAAAATAAAAAATAATATAAAATATAATAGAATTAATCCAATTAAATAAACAAGTAAACGTTTCGATAGTATAACTATCTTCTTCAATACAATGGTAACAGGAAATTTTAATTTCCTGTATCTCATCAACTTATCATCACGTTCTATAACGGTTTCGTTATCACAAGGACAATTTTTACAATGAAGGAAACAACTGCGGAATTCTCATGACTTGTTACATATTACATTTTTAACACACTGACGATTCCCGGATCACAATATTTAGACGTTTGAAAAATGTGAATCTAAAGAAATCTGATTTTATGCGTTTACCATCGAAAAAAATTAGAATTATTAGCGCCTTATTTTAATGGGATTTGTAGCGTAACCATAACGATAGTCGTATCATGTTGTGGTATATGTGTTGTTATTTTAAAAATCTGTAATTAGTTAATTTCGTACAGTTAGATATAGATTCTTTCTTTCTAATAAGTTTGAGGATGTAAAGAATTTTTAATGTAAGAATATTTCTTAAATTTATTGTTATTTATTTATTAAAGAAGATAGTTGTACTGTCGAAACGTTTACTTGTTTATTTAATTGGATTAATTCTATTATATTTAGTATTATTTTTTATTTTATGTCTTTAATAAAAAATCTTGTAACTTCTTAATCTTTCGGCTCACAAGTTGGCCTATTATTGGATTGTTTGATTTTAATAAAATTCAAGCTTCTGAAAAATAAAATTGCTAATTAAAAAAAATTATATTACAAAGTAAATCGCATATGAATGTTTTAAAAATTATTTTTATACATGTCCCTAACAGCACACATGTCCGAAAGACATTTAGAGGATATCCAGAAGATATAAAAAATATCCTTGAAAAAACATAATGAAAAAATAATATCTATAAAAATAATTAGTTGCAGCGATTTACGGAAGCGGAGGCAGCTTTATCAGAAGCGAATCAAATCGACAATCGTAACGTGACTGTTTGGAAGTACTTATGTCTGTTAAATATGTCTTTGCAACGTCACGATGAATTCGTTCAGTGCCGGACACAGATCGCTCAGGTGAAATGTTATTAACAAGAAGCGTTGATTGAGGTTTTTGCTGTTTTTCAGTGATATGTTGTCGTTGTCTCGTAGGACGATACGACTTTCTCTTTAGAAAAACGGTCCCTCAAACCGCGAGATGGAAAACTGGTCATGCTCTAAATGCAGCCACGTAATTACATATAAGCTTCTCCTCTCCTTAATTCGGAGATTCAGTCAGCTATTCTACGACGATCACGATGAGATTATTGGTGAGTCAGACCGCGGACTATATGCAAATACAGCATGTTTTGCAACTAATGATACAACGGGAAGATAATAATTTTATAGAAGATACGAAAATTCTATAAAATAACATATACACACATAAGTCAAAAATGTAAAATGAAATTTTTTATATAAGGCTACTTATTTACGCGAAAATTATATAATAACATATTGACGACTTTTTAAACTTGAACAATTTTTCGTTACATTTTCGAATTCATCACTCATTTCGCGATAGTGATTGTTAATATATAGACATAAAAACCAACATTTTCTCACCCCTATTTACTAAAATAATAATTAAAATTATTAAAAAATGTACATAAAAGTATCTAAAAAAATTAATTTTTTTAATAGAGTAAATACACAATTTTTTATACAAATTTTTTAAATAGTCACGAAATAAAAAAATGTATATAATCGTTAGAGATCATTTAAATTAAAAAGAATTTTCCAATTTTCAAAATTTAAAGTCGATTTTTCTGAAAAATAAAGTCTCGTTTAAAAAAAATTTTATTCTATATTTTCAATTTATTTTTGTTTCATGTAGCATCATTATCTTTTCTGTATCATTAATTATGAAAGACATCTGCATTTTTAAATCTTTTATCTTTAGCTGCAATTTCGCAATAATATTCATAATGCGGAATAGAATATTGAGTCACATATCAAATGATTAATACTTTTTGTGTGTAGTGTACGCTATTTATACTCAGTCTGCTTCAAATAGTGATGTTTACTGCGATGATAAATTGCGATGAATCAAGAAGCGTTATACGTCACAAAATTGGAAAAAAAGGTAATATCGCAGACTGTGCGGCAATAATATTATAAAACACGAAAGCGCTTGCGTTGATAAAATAGTGCAAAATAATAAAAAGAAAAAGATGCAATTTCTTTCGATATTAATAATATATTTTAATAATAATATATTTAATAATATATTTTAATAATAATATATTTAATAATATATTTTAATATAATATTAAAATAACATTAAAATTAATAAGCAAGATGATAGGAAAGATTATAATTTCTCAATAAAATATATAATTGCTCTCCGCTTACAGATGATGTTGAACGGGTCAAAATAAAAGTTTTCCGTGGCCCTATGCAAGAAAAAAATGGTGATGTTTTCGCTCCCTGGGGATACTGGATCCAACAGCCCGGCAGATAATTTGAATTGTGAATTGTTCTTATTTTTTCATGTAACAGCGACAAAATATTTCTTTTTTCTTTTATTCTACGTATTTTATAAATGATATATATGCGCACATCAAAAAATTAATTTTGCAAGAAACTTTATTTCCCATACGAATTATATTAAAGACGTTTATAAAAAAAAAAAGATTTTCAATAATTATGTTACAATAGTTAGCTTCTACGATAAATAATTATATACTATGATTAATATTACTTAAATATTACGATTAATATCTTTGGAGCAAACTTCGGAACAAAAATATTAGATAGGAACGTGGAAATAAATATGTAAAGGTAATAAAAGGATACGAGAAGAGAAAAGAGATATGTACGATTTTACGGCATTTTTATTATATGATCTCACCAATGCTTATTATATGTTTGCAATGCCATTAGTATGTTGTAAAACATGAATAGTTTTTACTTTTTATAATTCGGATTATTCGGATTCATTTGATTGGCATGGTTATCCAAATCCGTTTTAGTTCCCGCGCCTTGGTAACCTGCAGTATGCCCAGGGCCAGTTCGAGGATTATTCGGATTGCATTGGTTAGTACGATTAGCTTGATCTTTCGAATCCATCTAGAAAATACAAAAAAATAGAGTTTTATTAAATTAGATACATACATTTTTTCACACACATTATAGATTCCGGTCGAGAAATATCAAAGAAAAAAGATCGAAGAAAAGAGAATCGAGCAATCAAGCATGGTTAATAAAAAAAAATCATCACATAAAAAAATGTATAAAAATTTTATATATTGTTTTATTTTAAATATAGACTTTTTTATTATATTACTTGAAATATACACTATTTTATCATACTCAATATGTCTATCCCGTATATATTTCTCTACAGATCTTTCAATTGCAAATATTAAGTAGGATATTAATAAATGGTAGAAATTTAATCGACCAACTCTGGCAAATGAAGAAAATGCTCTCCATATGTACATATAATTTAATATGAAATTAATATATTGAGAAATACATTATACTTTTTATATTAAAATATATTTATCTTTCTCTCTCTCTCTTTGTTAGTTATAATTAATTTAATAATTTATTTTAACAATATTGTGTGGTGCGGTATATTAATATTCTAAAAGATGTAAAAAAACTGTGAAATCTCCAAATGATAATTAAAAAATGGTAGTAATTTAATCGACCAACTCGGGCAAATTAAGTGATCTTTATTCAATATTCAATATTCAATGTGAATATTGAATAAAGATCACTTAATTTGCCCAAGTTGGTCGATTAAATTACTACCATTTTTTAATTATCATCTGGTGACTTCACAGTTTTTTTACATCTTTTAGGATATTAATATACCGCACCACACAATTGTTAAAATAAATCATTAAATTAATTATAACTAACAAAGAGAGAGAGAGAGAGAGAGAGAGAGAGAGAGAGAGAGAGAGAGAGAAAGATAAATATATTTTAATATAAAAAGTATAATGTATTTCTCAATATATTAAATTTCATATTAAATTAGCCATTATATGTACATGGAGAGCATTTTCTTTTAGAATTTATCCTGAAAATCATGGTGATCATGGGACAATATATTGGAAGAATTTTATAAGAATTTCTCTGATTAAAATATATTTACCACAATAAAAAATATTAATACGTAGTAAATTTAATCAAATATATTTTATTTCTTATTGTAATAGATCTTAATATTTCTATTGTGATAAATATTAATCAAAGAAATTTCTTATTGTGGGGGTTTTCAGAACATGAATAATTAAAAATAAAATATTATAAAGAGTTCGTCAGGATGTATTTGATTATATGGATACAGTTTATATAAGCACTTACTATACTCGATATTAACCCGAGGCAGGTAGGTCAACTCAAAAATAATAATACACGTGTGTCTCGGTCGATGTTTCTAATACGACTCTCTCGCTTGATATACATGCTGTCGCGAAACGGAATCATTCGATGATCATGCACAAAGTGATCTCACGCATCACGGTTAGGACACGTGTTCACAATAATACGAAACATTATAAACGCCTACATTATAAAATTCTTCGAATACATATTGTCCCATGATTACCATGTTTCAGGGTAAATTCTAAGAAACAATTCTATATGTGTACCCATACAGCACAGATTATTGCAATTATATTGCAGCAACGTTGCAATGTTGCAAGTTGCAATGCAACATTATAAAGACATTGCAGAGATATAGGTGTACAAAATTCCAGCACACTTGTAGCAACATGACATTAATATTTACATTTGTATACCTGTATATGCAACATTAGTTTATGGTTGCAATAACAATGCATTATTGCAAACTCATAACATTGCAATATTGTTGTAATATTTTGTTGCAATCTTCCAAAAAGCGGACATTTTAACATTGCTGCAATTCAACAGCAATGATGTAGCAACATTTTGCAGTAAATTTGCAATATTGCAATATTGCGATGAAAGATTGTTGTAATGTTTTTGCAATCTATCGGTGCTGTATGGGTACTACTAGCTATTGCACTATAATATTTCACTTATCAATTTTCAAAATCACGTATTATATTATTTTGATTATATATTCTTTGCAGACTTTTATTTAAGTATTAAATAATTCTTTTTAGCAAACATTTAATAAAATATTACAATGTTAAATATTAAAAATTTAATAAAATATTATTATCATCTCTACATATTATCTTCACATATTTTACATATTATAATATATTGCTCTATTTCTACTTACTTTTTTTTTTATATTTTAAACTCGTAAGTATAGAATCATTAATTTTTAAATAGAAATTTAGAAATAATTTATGTAGACACTAAAAATCAATGAAGCAAATGTGCATGACTTACCTTTGATTTCGCAGTTGGAAGAAAACTTGTTATGAAGCAAATAATCGACGGTCAAAGCCACGTTCTATGTGCAACAGAGCAGCGAGTTTAAGACGCAACTTGTGATCGCCGCAATATTTATACCCTCTTCAATACAGAGATATGCATTGTGGGGGGAATTCCCTAACAAATTTTAATCGAAAAAAGAGGAGGGATTTCCCCTTTTAAGGGTCGGCAGGCGACATGGTGGAGACGCCTATCGGCCGGCCGGGAATTAGAGATTCTTATATTCCAGATATTAGCGAAACTACTGAATGAATCTTATTAAATTTATGATATTCTTAATCAGTAAGCTCAAATGCAGTCCGCCAAAGAGTTATTTATTGAAAAAAAGATGAAAATAAAATTTATAATATAACTTGGGGGAATGCGCAGCTAGTAACGGGTAAGGTTGGGTTAGCCAGGAGTCCGTATTTTATTTATTATAAATTTTTCAGAGCAAAAATGCAAAATCCGACTCTTTGGCGGACTACTTTATTATATCAAGAATATATTAAAAAAAAAAAACCAAAGTTATGTCACTTATTTTATGAAATATCTGGACGATAAGATTCTCACTAGATTCATAAGGAGCAGGGGAAATTTCCGTGGTAACATACATAAATCTATATAATAAATAAAATGTGTAATAAATTATCGAATGATTTATTTAAATATTTGCATATAATCTATGTAAATAAAATATGTACAAATAAAATAATATTTATGCAAATATTATTTTATTTGTGTACATATTTTATTTATATACCCAAACAACACCAAGTCCAAAATTGGCGCGTAAGATATCTTTATAAGATGTCTTTTTGATATCATATCATAAGATAGCTGTCTTAAAGATTTCTTAATCCCATACAGCACAGATTATTGCAAATATATTGCAGCAACGTTGCAATGTTGCAAGTTGCAATGCAACATTATAAAGACATTGCAGAGATATAAGTGCACAAAATTCCAGCACACTTGTAGCAACATGACATTAATATTTCGGAAATATTGCATGTAATCCAAATTCTATAATTTATATATTGTTTTATTTATATATATGAATTAACTACAATGTATTTTCATTAATGATTTATTTACATTTATATACCTGTATATGCAACATTAGTTTATGGTTGCAATAACAATACATTATTGCAAACTCATAACATATTGCAATATTGTTGTAATATTTTGTTGCAATCTTCCAAAAAGCGGACATTTTAACATTGCTGCAATTCAACAGCAATGATGTAGCGACATTTTGAGTGAATTTGCAATATTGCAATATTGCGGTGAAAGATTGTTGTAATGTTTTTGCAATCTTTCGGTGCTGTATGGGATGCTATCTTATGCGTCAATTTTAGACTTGGTGCTGTCTGGGTAGAACCTTTAAAAAAAGGTAAAAAAAGGCGACCAGTTAAGGGCACACCATTAACAAAAATTATCCATTGCAAACCCATGTACAATAGAATTGTATGAAAAATTATCGATTATAAACCAATGTACAATCGTAACAAAAGTAATGAAATAAAAAAAAAATTGCGCCAAGTGAAAGTAGAAACTTGTACCAGTGGAAAATTAAAGTTACAGACATATATAGAGTCGTATAATGAATCAATAAAAATTTAAATTTGCAAATGTAGAATTGTACCATAAAAAAACTTATCTTTTAAAAAAAAAGATAAACAAGATGCCAAGTCCATGCGCCATGTGAAAAAGTGTTAAACAAAAAAGTATTTTTAAGTAAAAAAATTTATCAATAGACAAAAATTTATGTTCTAAAATTAATATCTCTACAAAAAGTAATGTCCAATTATTGCGCGAATAAATAAACATTTTTATAAAAAATTAAAATTTAAAAACTTATGCAAATTTAAAATTAATATAAAATAAAAAGAAATAAAAAAATTTTAGTTAAAAAAACTGGGCGCGCTGCAATGAGTTTAAAAGTAACAATTTAATTTTAATATCATTAGAATATTATTTAGCAGCGCGCCCAGTTTTTTTAACTAAAATTTTTTTATTTCTTTTTATTTTATATTAATTTTACTATTTGCATAAGTTTTTAAATTTTAATTTTTTATAAAAATGTTTATTTATTCGCGCAATAATTGGACATTACTTTTTGTAGAGATATTAATTTTAGAACATAAATTTTTGTCAATTGATAAATTTTTTACTTAAAAATACTTTTTTGTTTAACACTTTTTCACATGGCGCATGGACTTGGCATCTTGTTTATCTTTTTTTTTAAAAGATAAGTTTTTTTATGGTACAATTCTACATTTGCAAATTTAAATTTTTATTGATTCATTATACGACTCTATATATGTCTGTAACTTTAATTTTCCACTGGTACAAGTTTCTACTTTCACTTGGCGCAATTTTTTTTTTATTTCATTACTTTTGTTACGATTGTACATTGGTTTATAATCGATAATTTTTCATACAATTCTATTGTACATGGGTTTGCAATGGATAATTTTTGTTAATGGTGTGCCCTTAACTGGTCGCCTTTTTTTACCTTTTTTTAAAGGTGAGTTTTTAGAGATTATATCATTCATTTTTGTATATGATAAGCATCTTTAAATAAATAAGCAAATTCAATTTTTCTGGCATTTTCTTATTTTAGGTACATATATATCCAATAATTAATATACAAAATTAAATATTATTCATCACACAGTTTGTATCAAAATAATATATTTTTAAAAATTTATTTTAAATTTATTTAATCATTTTTATCATTGTGATTGTAGTGGCAAGGATTTTATTGCTCAGTGTCATTGCAAGCATCTGGCCTGTATATACCATAATATATTGTGTAATACATTGGCTAAGTATGACAATATGGATTTTGATAGATTCCCATGGAATATTGGAATTTTGTCGGACTTGCAGTCATCCACCACATATGCAGCCTACAATTAAAGAACGCATTTATTCCATATTATTTGCTTCCGTTATTGGCATAGTGCACATTTTTATATATCTCAATGCTTCCGTTATTGGCATAGTGCACATTTTTATATATCTCAATGCTGTAGATAGCAAAACATTTTGAAAACATCTATCTTTCTATGTTATCTGCTTTTTTGAAAATATTGCAGCAAATTTATTATGGCAATATGCTTGTCCTCCTGCAGTTAAAGAGGCTTAGTACTTTAATATAATCTTTATTATTTGTATCATTTCCTTTTTCTTGGGAATTACAGCAATGCTTTTGTACTATATTGTCTTGCATCCCTCAAAAAGACAACATACTTCAAACGCACCAGTTCAAGCAATGTAACTTTGATATTTACTTTAAAAAATGAGAGATAAATTATACAATATGCAATTAACCTTATCTTATGACTTTTATAAATCTTATGATAAAATCTAACTCTCTCTTAATCTTTATTATGAAAAGAATCTCGGTATTATATGAAATAATTTCATTGTATAGTTTAACTTTCAAAAATTTTGCAAAATAAAATAACTCACATTGTATTTCTACCATATATATAAAAAAAGATAGGTAAATATAAATAAATAAATATATATTTATATTTATATATATATATATATAACATGTTGGATTTTTATTATATATATATAATTTCAAAAAATCTTTTTTATATGCTATTGAATTTTAATACATACAATTTTGATTATATGTATTTTAATTGATTATATTTATAAGTATTTTTATATTATCTTAAAAAGACTGCATAGAATTATTTGTGCGACACTCTTATATGTATGTATAATTAATAGGGACCAACTACACATTTTTTTTCCACTGAATAAAAACAATCTCAATATTAAAATTAAATTATAAAAAAGATACTGTGATATTTTATTGATGAGAAATGTACATTTATAATTGTATTAAATACAAAAATAAACATGCCATGAATTACTATATATACATATTTTCATAATTATCAAACTTAAAAATATAATATTGTTACCAAAGAAGAAAGCACTATTTAAAAACTCTAAAAGTTCATAATTTGTTAAATTAGTAATTAAATACTGCATTTTGTATAATTTTTAAGCTTTATTCTTTTATTTTTCTTTATTTAATTGAATAGATATTAACATCCACAATGTAGCATACAGATTAAATTAACAACCAAAGAAATAAATCTTAACTTTGAAATATATTTTTGTTTCTTTTAAATATCAATCAACTGGATTTTGTACTACTATTAATATGAATTCTTTATCTGGTGCCATCATAATTTTATGTTTTTTGCTACGTATGCGCAAGAAAGTTAAATCATTTGTTGGATTCAAGTCACGTACGACAGAACGAGCTTTATCTGACAATTGACTTATCAAACCAGCGTATTGAACTGTTGTCGTATTATCTAATGTTGACTTTATAGGAATACCTAAAACAGATATAATTTTATAAATTTTTGTTTACAACTACAAGTAAATCATGTCAATGATCTCATGTAATACCTTCTGCATTCACCACTATTGTTCCAACTACCCTTTTATGAGACTGAATTTGTTTCATAGTTTCTTCAACCTCTTATAAATTATTTCATCGAAATTTATTAATAAAATTTTTATTTTAAATATTCCAATAACGGAAGCAAATCATATGGAATAAATGCGTTCTTTAATTGTAGGCTGCATATGTGGTGGATGACTGTAAGTCCGACAAAATTCCAATATTCCATGGGAATCTATCAAAATCTATATTGTCATACTTAGCCAATGTATTACGCAATATATTATGGTATATACAGGCCAGATGCTTGCAATGACACTGAGCAATAAGATCCTTGCCACTACAATCACAATGATAAAAATGATTAAATAAATTTTAAAAAATATATTATTTTGATACAAAGTGTGTAATGAATAATATTTAATTTTGTATATTAATTATTGGATATATATGTACCTGCAATAAGAAAATGCCAGAAAAATTGTAAAATAGTTCCTATAGCACTGATATTAGATTTATCTTGTTAAGCTAATCGAATGCTGCGATGATAACTAGCCATTGCCCAACCCATGCTCACAAGTGAGCTGATAATGCTACCTGCTTGATGTACAACTGAAAAAAATATAGAAGCTAATTAAGAAAATTATTAAAAATATATGCATACTCATACATAGGCATTTATATAATTGAAATATTATTGAAATAATAGCAAAATATCTGATTTTGTATCACAGACTGTAAACTTGCACATAAATTATTATGACAATAAATTTGCAAATAATAACATTAAAATTGAATGTAAAAATTGAAATTGAAAATTGAAAATATCTAACCCCGCACGCTGTCAATATAGCGGAGGGCAACTATCGCCGTCTGTTGTAAAACGTGCGAGATGGACATTTCCAATACATGCATCTATTCATGTGTTGTGTACGTGTGATATATGTGTGCGCATGTGTTGTATACGTGTGAATACGTGTAGCACGATACTACTATGTTTGCGTGGTCGATGATGATAATAATAATAATGATGATGACGGGGACGTTTCTTAAAAGAAATTTTTCATATTTCGACTTTGCAATTATATATCTCTGCTTACAAATCACGTAGAGCAGAAATAAAGACACTTTTATTATATAATTCAAACTCAATCTATCGATTAAGTCTAGTATAAACTCGATTGCTTCAGCCGTTATTGAGAATTCGAAATATTATAAAGACTCAAATGTCCGACTCGCGTTAAGATACACGGTGTCTCGGCTACGCCCTTAACTGGTCGCGAGACACTACCGTGTCTCTTGATAGTATGACGTAAATTAATAAATAAAATTTTTCAATTAATAGCATATAAGCTCGTTAAGTTGGCCTTTTATTATATCACATATATTAAAAGTCAAATATAATTTTTGAACACTTTTATATTATTAAAAATATATAATTCGACTCTCGAAATATATTAATTCATTATAAAACGTATACGTATTAGTATTTTTCACATATTAAAATGACTAGAATAAATTAAATTAATTATTAAAAAACTAAAAATTAATTAAACGACTTAGACTTAGATGATAATAATAATGAAACATTTATTAAAAAATAATTATAATAGGTCAGGTTAATATTTTATTTATTTATAACGTCATAAAATTCTGTCCTTTCCGAAATACGCGAACGCTACGAAAAGATAAATTTCGTACATGCCGCCGGACGAGTTCATGAGCATGAGACGCTCTTATCTTGGGAACGTATTAATAGTTACTGCATTGACCACTACTACGATATGGCGCTGAAATCAGTGAGAAATGCTGGTCTCTCCTTCATCCAGACCTTTGGCGATCTGTCTATTAATCTGTGACCCAGGCAAACTCCGAATTGATATTGGAGACCTCGTGCGGTGACAACGCGAAACTCCGGTTTCAGTGTTGCCAACGCCGAGAAACCAATTCTCGGGTTTTATGTAGTGGTGTATGTCTGTACACGTACATACACCAACTGCATCGCTCACGCGGACGCACGTAAGAGAGACAAGGACCGATAATCACGTGTTCTCCTTGTTCATCTACCGTGCCGGTATACGCGAGATGCCGCCTGAAAATGCTTTCTGGCCTTCCGTAGCAGAAAGCAGTAACGTAGCAAGACTAATAAACACCCACTTTTTGGAAATTGTATATATGGTTATGCACATATGTGCATAACGTATATATATAACATATATATATATATATATATATATATATATTATATAAGGGATATGTTGATTATATTCTTGATTTCTTTTTGATTATTGATACTATTGTATAATTTGCTCCAAATACTTATAACGTGAAAGAACGTTGAGTAATGTATAATCAATGCAAGGATGTTCAGTATATCATCCAGTATATAAATTAGAGTTCAAATATATCAATATCAATTTTTTTTATAATATATATATATATATATATATATATTAGAATATAGAAAAATGATAAAAAAATATATTTCGGCGATTTAAAAATTTTTTAATATATTGAAAATATTTTTACTACATACACTATATATAAGTGTAAAATAATTCAGAAAATAAATTTAATAAAAATCTACATACCAGCTGTGTGCATGTGTGCAATTGATTTATTACTTGAAATTTATTTACGGAATTATTTTGCATTTATATATTTATAGTATGTGTAGTTGTAAAATGATTAAAATATTTTCAATATCAAATTTTTAAGTTTATCGCCTATATAAAAAATATATTTCTATGATTTTCTATATTCCAATATATTATAAAAAAATTGATATTGATATATTTGAACTCAAGTTTTTTACGTGATTAAATATTCTTGCATTGAGCCATCATACGTTACTCGTAAGTTCTTTCACGTCATAAGTACTTATGTAGCAGAGAGGAAGAAATGAGAGTTATACAATGTAACATCAATAATCTTATATATTATAATCTTATATATTATATATATATAATATTTCATTTATTTATAAAAAACATTTTATAAATAAGTAAAATATTATACAGACAATGTACAAGATGTTCAGTTTGTGCCATAACAAGCTTCAATCAATAATTATTACTCCAATGAGTATAATTCACAATAATTTTTATATAATATAATAAGTATTTGAATATATAAAAATATTTTTAAAAATTTGTTTTAAAAATTAATTGAAAAAGAATATTTAAAATATTTTTTATATTTAAAATATTCTTTTCCTCAATTAATCTTAAAAAAAATATTTTTAAATATTTAAAAATATTTAAAAATACTATATATTATATAAAAATAATTGTTGATTATTATATTGGATTATTAATTGAATGAAGCTAGAGCTTTTAATATGGCTTTTAATACTGCTTGACAAGGAGAGAGCATCATTCCATCTTTGTCTCTCTTACATCGCATATGTAGTAGCGTCCATGTAGGTACAAACACTAAAAAATATTAAATTTAATTTTTTTATTGTTTTGAATAATTTTATCATTAATATACTTATTTTCAGAACTATTTCAATTTTTATTTCATACTTATGTTTATATAAATTATAAATTAAAAACATATCAAAAATGTAATACATATTAATAAAATGCAAATACATATAGAAAATTAATTATAAAATGTCATCTTAAAATAGTTTTTATTTTTGTTCTTTATTTACATATGCATACATATACAAAAAAATAAAAATAATATGATAGCCTTTTTGCTGACATTATCTCTCAATATTTGCATCCGTGTGCTCACGTATTAGTGTTTGTACCTACATGGACGCTACTACATATGCGATGTAAGAGAGACAAAGATGGAATGATGCTCTCTCCTTGTCAAGCAGTCAGCATGTTACCACAGAAATTTCCCCTGCTCCTTATGAATCTAGTGAGAATCTTATCGTCCAGATATTTCATAAAATAAGTGACATAACTTCGTGAATTTTTTTTTAATATATTCTTTATATAATAAAGCAGTCCTCTAAAAGGCCGGATTTTACATTTTCGCTCTTAAAAATTTATAATAAATAAAATACGGACTCGCGGCTAACCCAACCTTACCCGTTCCTAGCTGTGCATTCCCCCAAGTTTATTAAAAATTTTTATTTTTATCTTTTTTTCATAAAATAGCTCTTTAGAGGACTACAAATGAGCTTACTGATTAAGAATATCCTAAATTTAATAAGATTCATTCAATATTTTCGCTAATATCTGGAAAATAAGAATCCGTAATTCCCGGCCGGCCGATAGGCGTCTCCACCATGTCGCCTGCCGACCCTTAAGTCAATTACGAATCAAAAGCAACACCGAAACGGCGTGATTGATGAGTGTGATATGTGTGCGTTAGCCAATCAACCACGATATTATAAACTCGATATTTATTATCGATATATATCGATATATATTCTTTCGAAATTTTTGAATAATCTTGAAAATCTGCTTTTCATATTCATCGATTTAAACATTTACCGAAATATTTATATGTTAAATATATATTTCAAGATATATATATATATATATATATATATATATATATATACATTATATTTGATTTAATTTCAGTTTGTAACATATATGTTACATCGTTAATTACACAATTAAGTTACAATAGAATTATATATATCTAATTAAGACTATAATTAAAGTTTAATAATTACTTTTAAATTTTTTAATTACACAATTTGTAACAAAATTTGTAATCTACATAATATAATACGTAAATGATAAAATGAATAATTGACGATTAACTGTATATTTATTTACTAATTTAATTTTAGAGATCCTCATTCAGAAATCCTGAAAGAATTTCTGCTTCAAAAGTAGGTATATAAAATTCTTGTATAACAATAAAAGTATAAGATTATTCGCGAGTAATGTGCGTTAATGAAAAAAAAGAGAGAGAGAAGAGAAAACGAATACATATACGCTAGAGATTTAAACCACAATGATGTATCATTTATTAATGTCTCCAATGAAGGAAGTGGAATACAGTGTTGTCCGCTAAGTGTTCCTCTCTCTTTCATCTCCCTTCGTCTAAGAAAGGAAACTGCGGAAAGGGACGTCTCCTGCTGCTGCGGATCTCGAAGAAATTTCACGGAAACCACTCATCAACATTATATTATATACATATATGTATATATAAAACAATTGTTACACACTAGAGCGAGTAATACAAAACAATGACCTTCAGTTAGTTTTTATTATTACAGTACCCCGTCACTTTTATGTGTACTCTAATAAAAATATAATTCTCATTACATCGGTACACCCAGTGATTTCATTTACGCACGTGTATGCATTTCCTTCTATATATAATGTATAGGTAAAATATCTCTTGCAGTCATTCACCTATCTCTATAGAGTGTCCGTCAAATTACGCGTCTCTTTACAAGTGTTTTAATTCGACAAGAGCGAATAAGCTTTTATATTTATAACTCATCCTTTTTCTCATTAAAGCTTTATAAAGATCCACTTTATCGCGTTGACAATGACACAGAAAATAACACGATTAGATATAATTATCAGGTAATTTTTAATTACTCTTAGCTAACTAGTTTTCTTTCACAATCAAGTTTTTTCATTATGATCATTACTGTTCAGTCTTTAGCTTTTATTATAGCGCATATTAATTTTGCTTGCAATTGATTGACCTTAATAACGAATAATCCAATTATGAAAATATGATTAAATGTTTTTTTATACATATAATTACTCAGCTTCATACAAAAAAAGTAATCCATCTCATAATCAGTAAGCGGATTAATCATTACAAAGGAAATGCAATCTTAAATCAAGATTTTTCTTTTGTATTCGTTTCTCATCATTGACGATAATAAAGCATTATTTAATCAAAGTCAGAATGAAAGATCTTCTTGCCAATAAAATTGCCTACGATTTGTCACCCGCAAAACATAGACTGAATTAAAATTATGAAATATTCGCAAACTTCTTATTGTACATCTTTTCGACACAAAAATTTTACGGACACTCTATAAGAATACATATATACATACGTATTATGCGTATATACTACATACATATACACGTGTATTCGTGTATATTTCCAATTTCGCAACTTTTGTTGTATACATATTATTCTCGTTTATATTTTTAGATGTAGACGTTTGTATATATAGAACTATTTTCTCATGCCATATTACAACAATACAAACAGTCAATGTTTAATGATAATGTTGACTTGCGCATTGCAAGCACCACAAATCTAGTATAGCAGTTTGAGCAATACGTAATGCTTCCTTCAGGATCGGGAGATTATTAATATGACGCGAGAAAATCGTCGAGTGATAGCAATAAACCAATCTCCGTCTCCTTTGTCGCGCTCGATTCTGTTTTACAAGGTGTCCCGATCAATAATACAAGAGTGTTTTGTCTCTCGCTTCTCTTTATTTTAAGTGTAACTCTCTTTCGAGATTTTAATAACAATAAAATTGGAATAATAAAAGTACAATACAATCATTTTTCTTTAAATTAAAGTTACATATTTAAAATAATATGATAATTTAAAATTGATGATTTCGATTGAAAATTAAAAATTATTTATCTGACAATCTTGAAAGAGAAAGAGAAAATAAAATAATTAATTAAATTCTTTTTTAAGAAAGAAATCAATTTGACTGCGAAAACGTTATCGATGTAAGATCTGTGGGACACCGTGTACATGGAATCGTGCCCATAGGAAAGATTTCACCGTTTCCTAATTTAATTGTAATAGATTTAAGCGTAATGAGAAACACCGTTGATTATGATCATTTCGATTCTCAACATCCCGTCGATGCGACTCGGAGCTGAGACGGATAAATCTTTCCCTTCTTTCTGCGAGATAAGACAAATACAAATGTTGAATTTTATATATATAGTATCAGAAATCGGATGCATAAATCTCGATACATTTCAGTTCCAAGTCGCTTATCACATCGCTTTTCTCGACGAAGCACCTAGCAGCTAATCACGTAAATATGACATTTCCCTCTCTAACGTTATCCACGAATAACAGTAGTTATTTACACAGCATCTAACGTTATTTACATCGCTAGCTACAGCTTTACGCGACTATATAATAAGAGGGAAGTAGCTTTGTACCGCTTGTCGCGCGCGCGCGCGTCTAAATATCGATGCTTCGTCTTATAAATATATATGATACATCTCCCATCCTTGCGATTAAATGCACAAATACTTGTTGATATACGCGTTATTTTCAGAAATTTACTATTTTATAAAGGAGATTGAATAAAAACTCATTTATATTTATCTTATAGAGACAATAATATAAAGATCTTTTTCTCAAACCAATATATATTGTTATTGCATTCGTATTTTATCATCATTTCTGGCTATAAATAATCGTATTATTTTTGTTCAAATTACCGTTACAAAAATACTGCATCTTAATTATTATCTTCTTCGATATAAATATTTACCTTGTCAGTCGATTTAATAAAATACTCTCTCAGTGTCAGTCTGCGTCACGGATAAATAATATTTATATTTGTGACAACTATAATCTTCTTAGTGTTAGTTCTATAAATGAAATTATCATGTCAAACGGATAAAAGATATCGCGTATAACAAGTGTCATCTATCAATCAATGTGCTACATCCTCATACTTAAAAATTGTCTTTTTTCCGCGAATATACATATATTTCGCGCGAGGAGAAAATAGCCCTGAAAGAAGTTGGCGCGGACTTTGCAGAGCATTACGTATTACGTCTCTCTATAACGTTTTTGGCAATGAGTAGAATACTAACAGATCTTAACGCTAATTACGTCTAAGCGTGTCTCGGTGTGTGTCACACAGATAACATTAGATTACGTCTTCTTAATAACAACAGGGAGACTCAGGTAACAGTTTCAACAAGTTTCTTTCATTCTCTTGACGTATTATTCCGCTAAACAAAATTCTATTATTGTTTAACTTTATATTTTTCTTTTATTCGCTTTTATATTTAAAAAATAATAAAAAAATATATATATTTGAAATAAATATATTGTTCCATGTAAGCGTAAGATGAGATTGCCGTAATAAATCGTAGTGTAAAAAAATGACGTATACAAAAAAATGTATATATATATTGTATATATATACATAAGTAAAATTTTATTTATTGGAATAATACGAGAGATCTGCTAGTCCTTTATAATAAAAATCGTATGATAGCTATACAAGGATTAACACAAAACTAAAAATCTAGATAGTATAGAATTTATGGAATCTATGTAATAAAGAGATTTTTGCAAAATCGAATTGAGGAATATTCCACATTTAATATTCGCAGATTTGTAAAAGAAAATTTGAGTGAAATTTTAACATGAAAAAATGTTAAGAATTAGTACTCGCGTGAAACTAATGATGTTTAAGAAGAAGAGAGTAGAAGGATAAAAATCTATATATAATAAAAACACAGAATATTCTTACTATTAATAGAGAATATATATATATATATATATATATATATATATGTATATATAATATATAAATCTGTGAAACTCTAGATCAACAAGAATTTACGATATGAGAAAGAGATATCACAAAAGATGGGACAATAATGCCTACGTTATCGAACATCTATAAAGAACAGAGAAGAATAAAGAAGAATCTGATCAAGTTACAATATCGCAAAGATCGCAGTCTTCGCGTGATCAAGGCGTAGGGAAAGGGCGTAAAAATTTATATAAGACTATTATACAGAGCAGGGACCTCGACGACGAAACAAGGAAACGGACTAAAGGAGGATACGGAAGAGAGCCGAGAATCGTGTCCTTTCTTCGCAAAAAGCTACCGCCGGGACTCGAAGAACGAGCGGCAGCGCGCGAATCGTCAGAGCTTCTCGGTCGCCGCTGTTCGGTGAACGTTGCTCGATCCTGGACCCACGCTCGTGGATCGTTCTAATGGGAAGGGCGCCTTGCCCAAGGGTGGCTGCGAGATCGCACGCTTCGCCGTCCTAAAAGAGCTGTATCGCAAAATCAACGATAATTAATAACGATTACAAACTTCTCATTTCTCCTCGAAATGAATGAGAAACGCCAATTCTTCCCGATACAGATACTCGATTTCGAATCAAAGTTTTAATTTTTAAAGATGGAGTACCATAAGAGTTTATGCCCTGATCTTTATCTATTGTACTGATATATGTATAATATTTTATATTATTTTTTTTATAATTTTCCATGATAAATTGGAAGATTAAATTATAAGATTGTATTAGGAAGAAAAGGTTCAAGCATCGCGTTCCTCGAGTCATATCAATAACTTTATTTTTTCTATGCATATTCGACGTAATGTCATTCGAATAATCGCGATTGACAATACGTGTCATATGACTGTTGGATGACTGTTTAATATCGTATTGCATTCTTGTAACTATTCGCATGTCTAATTAATATAATCTGTTATTTGTGTGCGACAGAAACGAATTGCAAATTCATTTCTTGGAAGTGGAAGCTTTTCTAATTAATTACGTAATAAAAATAGCACAAGCATTGATAGATGGTTAAGAAATATTGACTTGCAGCTTAATTAAGTAATTAAAAATTAGTGCAAATAATTTAAAATTATTAACTGCACTATTTAAATCGAGCAATCCGCTTCTGTATCGTACAACGTATTGTGCAATAAGCAGCAGTGATGTATTTTTCGATAATGCGTTTCTCCTTTCTCTATCACACTTAAGCTGAAAACAATTAATGATTTTGCTGTCTGTCAATGCACATTATTCATTTCTGTTGTTGTATAAGTATTGTATAACACACATACTTTTTCGACATCCTATATACACAGAAAATATCAACAGATTACAGGATGCAAGACAAAAATACATGAAACAATGTATTATGTTTCTGAATATATTTGGAAAATAAATTTCCTTTTTTTACCTTAAAAATTTAATCGGATTATATATTTTATTACCTTTCAATCAAATCGATTGTCTGAATAATTAAATCCAGAATACAACAAGATAATATAGAATAGAGATTGATCGAAAGTAGAATTTATTTAAATATGTTTAAATTCCTTTTTCACTCTCTTGTTATTCGAGATATTCATTAAAATGTTGTTTAAAAATTCGACGAGGAGCACTTGATCCTTTTCATATATTTTTGCCGCGCATCCCGTAAAAGTTAAGAATAGTGCGCTTCGCATTGAAGTTTAACTCGCTTGTGAGTAAAGTGGACATAGATCGCCATTGAAAGCTGATGAATGAGAACAGCACAATGGGGAAAGCGGTGGTGTTTTACATTTGTATACTGCTGGAAAGCGTGACGTAACATCTGAAGCGGATAATGGATAATGAATCAGATGTCGACGGAAGACACCTGTCCGCCCTATGGATGACAGCGAAACGATTGTTTATAATCTGTTCTTGAAAATGACACGAGAAAGGTAAAAGGGAGAAGCATTCAACTAGGCGCGTCTGAACTCTGTCGAAGCTCACTCTTTGAGTTATTTAATCCTAAATAGCTCTGGCAGACGCCTCTAATTCTAAAACAAAAACAAATTATATTATTTTACAAATTTTATATCGTAGAATATAATAAAAAATTAATTTAATGCAGATTTATTTTGAATAACAGAGTCTCTTGACATCTGGGGAATAATTTACTGGAAGGAGATTTAGTATAATCGATGCGTGATAAACACGTCGACTCTTTGCAATACATTCGCGCTTGCTGCCAGTACTACGAAGAGAATCATAAGTAGATCTAGGAACGAAAAAAGCGATTTTTTTTAGAGAAAAGAGCGAGGCAACTGTGGAACGAATCGATTAATTCACGCGGAATGAATTCTAATGAATCGATTTTTGAATCGAATTTCTACAAAGCACGTCTTAAGAAAAGCCTTAACAAAGAGAATTGGGCCTAGAATCTATCTTACATTTTGGTATATAATCCTTGATACTGCTTTTTCTCATTAACGTACGCTATTGTTCGTCCCGTGATACCGCCACCTACGAAATGCAATGCTGATGAACGAATCCAGAGATTTTTGTTGATAGCGCACGTGTATATATATATATGTATATGTATTATGACATAATGGGCACACAGCGCAGCGAATGCGTGAAATCGGGGATGAAAAGGATTTGCCAGTGTTTTCGCTTTTAAATGGAGATCCCACGGCACGTATACCTGTATGTATGCGCGTGAGTTCTCGAAACTTGAACATTCACATGTAACGTAATAATCGTGCATGGTGTACACATCTTTTGTATAAATGTAAATCTATATGGCATCCTTATTCGTGCTGCTATACGGTCCTTTTACGGACAAGCAACAAATCTTCAGCCTGATCTACCATCAAAATAAATCATTTATCCCCGAGATCATTTAATTATCTCTTTCTTTTCATTTAATTAATTCTATTATATATTGACTCGTAAATCTTGCAATATACAAAAGTAATTATATATGTAGCAACAATGATTCCTTGACCAACTTGAGAAAATTATTTCACAACTTGTATAATTTTTTATTATAAAACATATAAAAATTTCAATTTTATTCGATTTTATATTTAATTTCTAAAGTCTTGATAGTCAATTTCTGAATTGTTTTTTTTAATAATATAGCAAGAGAGTTGTAAAAAAATTCTGATATATTTTTAAAAAATCATAAATTATATATTCTAATTAATTATTCTAATTAATTATTCTAATTATTTTTAATGCCGATTGATATTACATCATTAAAATATTGCTCATGTACACTTCACATTAATGAAACTACATCAAATACAATTGAGCAAATATATTCAATTAAAGTAATCATAAATATATATATAAGTAAATTAAAATCTACTTAAAATTTAATTTATTTTAAATCATAAATTAAAAATAAATTAAACAAATATAATTTTAAATAATTATTTACATTAGCTATATACATTAAAATATGTCCTCATTCAATTTACATAAAATAGCATTAATTAATATTGCGTTAAAATTTAATTATATCCTCATCATTTAATCATAAAAGTTGTGAACCTCGACACTCTATCGTGCCAATTTAAATGAAGAATTCAAGCATCACAATTCTCAGGGTGTAGATATGAAACGATCTAGGTGGTGAATCTAGCATTATTTTATAACACAAAACACTCATCTAACAAGTTTCAGGCGGAAACGTGAGACGACGGATTTACCTTCGTCGTTAAAGCGAGACCGGTTCGTTTCGGGAAGGTAACGAAAACGATTTCTCTATTTCCCGGGCGTATCTATAGAGAGGCGATCATAGAGCAGTCATATTAGCCACAAATCCTGGACATGTATGTACTAGCCGATAGATACAAACAATAAGTTCGAGTGTAGGATTACGACAACAGTCGCTTTCGCCGAGTGAGAGATAGAGAGACAGAGTGCGATATTTAACTACGCTGACAACGCGACATATCCCTCATAGCAGGTACCTGCAATCAAGAGACTGGTCAGGACAATTCGATCGTTGGTGTCTTTGTTTTAACTGATTAGAACAGCGTAGGAACGGTGCAGTGCGCGTTAGTGGCAGAAAGATTTTTTAAGGAAAAAGCAAATAAATTAATAATAATCTTAATTATGTGTGATAAACGTTGATTACGAATATTAATCTAACAATAAGTTGTTAATCACGACGATATATCAATTTAATATAATTGAGAGATATATTTCTATCATTTAATTATCTTTCTTATATTTCTTTTATATTTTATCTATAAACACGTGTTATTTATCTACACATTTTAAATAAATTTTGTTCGTATATTGATTCTTCTAGTTATAATAAATCACGAGGTGTGCTCTCGAGAAAGAAATAGGAATAATTTTTAAATGGTAAGAAAAACGCGATTTTTCTAAAGACATAGAAAAATTATCGCATTCATTTTTTTAACTTATACACGTTGTCTTCATAAAGATGACGCATAGACCTAATTGTAATCCTATATAATCCTTCTACCAATAAGATCGCGCTGTGAAAGATTGGGGGGAGAAGCGGAGTATGTAGACGCTGATTTCTTAATTGAATTTACAAACTGAAGCAAAATATTTACTTAAGCAAACGACATTCGTGATATTCGTTTGAAAATTAGAGAATGATTAATATAATGATAGCTATAAGCATCTGGTATTCAAGTGGAAACTCGAATCGGCGCCTACGGTGAAGAGTAAGAGCAGTAGACGTTTGTAGATAGTTACCAATGTGAGTAAATAAATTGTACGTAGATTATAGGCGTGTGTTAGATGTGAGTAAGGTAGATTTTCCGCTTTAAGTAGACGCTGTTGCGCGCCGGGGAGTTCACCGCTGTGTCGTTACTGGAACATAGCCGGTGCTCGTTTTCACACACACACATACATACACACACGCACACGCACGCATTGTCAATTGCGTAACAATACAGTGCGCGAACGCCGCCCAGGGTGTCATTTCTCGACCCTTTCTTGTCTGACTGCGATTTAAGTGAAAAAAAAAGAGGACAGTATATACGCCAAGCGAAGCTATATACATTGAATGCTAAAAAAGTGACGTCATTTTTACGTTATCTATCATCTATTTTTCTTTAATAAATAAGCATTAGACAACATTCAATTGATGTAAGGATCCTTTAAGAATGTTAGAATAATGTAAAATTTTCGAAATATACATCTTCCGAAAGATCGACGGAATTAAAGATTAACGAGTTCATCAGATAAAAAGCTTCTCACGAATTTTCACAAACAATTATTACTGTACAAACTGAATTCATAAGATATTTTTTTACAGAGACCGACTGTTGACACAAATAAAGCTAGAGAAATCTACCTTGTGGCAGCAACGTGAAATAGTGGTTCTCGGAAGCAATATCCAGCAACAAAGGGTTGAGAGAATAAACCGCTTTCACGCGCCGATTACATTTTTTCGTGTAACTCCCAAAGTCAGTTGCATTTCCTCCTCAGCAATATCGTTTTTTAAATACAATTTAATTTATAAAATTTCGCCTCTGTATGCTTGCTCATATACTTTTTCAGGATTATAATGAATTATAATATGTAAAAGAAATAAAAAGAAATAACATATTGTATAATTCTACTTATTCCTTTTTAATAATTAAATTACTATAAAATAATATTCTTTTGAAACAAACAAATTTTGTATCCTATTCGCAGATATGATATTTCGAAAGTGAAAAAATTTTTTATATTTTGATGTAAGAAAACAATCATGCAACTGACTTTAGTAAATGCACGATGCTTTCGACGTAACAAAACCATAGCAATATAATCCGACGAGAAGATATTTAATTCTTTTTGACGAAGCGTGAAAGATCTCTCTTTCTTATCACAAAATTGTCAGAATGCATCATTTACAGTAAACTCACCTTCGTCGACGCAAGGAAGTATTCTGTCCCGGCAAGCCAAACTGACCCCTGGGGATCACCATGCGCGCGTTACCCTGGGCGGGACGTGAACCTCCGTGCGCTTGCAGCGTGCTCAGATGGGCGGCATAGCCATCGTACAGTATTGTCGCCAGAGTCTGATGCTTTTTGGACGCTTTGCCGATGATGAAGATCTGGCTCGGTTTCAGGTTTATCGCTGTGTACACGCTAATGTCCTTCTCGCTGCCGTACGCCTGATGAATTATCATTCCGTGTTCCTGTCAATTACATCCAATTAATCACAAATACAGTCGCGCGAAGAAATATCGGTATCAAAAATTGTAAGAGAAGAATTGTTTATAAATCTCGATATCTCTGGAGAAATTGTTTATGAAGAAAATTATTCTCGTCGATCAAGAGAATTGTGCGATCAATCGTGAATACTTCATTATTTACTTCTATTGTCGGTGTTTGCTATTATTACGAACCTTTACAAGCTTATTCAAATAGGCGGCTTTGTGAGCGAGCGGATCTCTCGACAAGCCGTCGGCGAACGAGACGAGACCGTGAGGAAAGTTATGTTGCGACAGCCAGGAAACTACCGTCTGCTGTTGCATGTCAGGTCTCGCAGTAATATAAATGATAAGGTAACCTAGTTCCTGCCAATGCCTATTACAAGTATTAACAGAAAAAAATATATATTAATAGAACAAAATTTTGTGTATAAACAACGTTCGCTTATATTTTCTTTTCGAGATAAAAAATTACAAATTTATATCTTTGGGATATGTCACCTCACAACATCGACGGCACCAGCCCAAACTTTCGGATCTTTGCCGCTCACCGATCTGCTGGCGGCGAATGAACCGTCTATACTAAAAACCACGCACTCGGTTCTCGGCGGTATCACAGCGATGAAAAAATCTACAGATGTGTGATCTCCCCTGCAAATACAAACGCATATTAGTTCAGAAAGAGATTGGAAGAATTTATATTTCTCATTAAAAAAATATAAATTAGACAAAAGATTCACATATTAATTTATATTACATTCATCTGTGTTTGTATATCTACATTTGTTGATCTTTACATTTTATATCTTTATCCATGCTTAACTTTCATTCATAGATTATAAATTTCAATCTTTTTTAGTTTGATTTATTAATTTCAATTAATTTCAATTATTATTTATTAAAATCTTTAATCTATCTTAAGTTATATATGTTTTAATGTTTCTCATTGATATTGATTAATATCTATTTAAAATTTCAAAAAGAAAATGCATTACCTTACAACCATCTTAACTGGATAGAGCCCATAACCTAGCGTTTTGTCATCTGGTATTTTGTAAATTATCCTACCATTTTTATCAGTTACCTCGGTGGAGAAGTACGTCCACTCACCTGCCGGTGCGTCTTTCATAATGTGAATATCCACTTTCTCACCTATAACAGAATGTGACATGTTCATTTTTCTCTTCTTTGCATTGTAATTTCAGCGATTAAAATATAAAAAAATCAGTTACTAAAACTATTATCAACATATATATGAATCATTAGCAAGCTTAACTTTTTCAATTTTGTTTACCTGTTAAAGTTATCATATCAATAGGACTGTACATGAACCTAGCAATTAATATTTGTGGTGCACCTTCCCTTACAATGACATCATTTGCTCTGTGATTGGCAGCAACATTCTGAAATGTATCAATGTAACCATAAACAATACAGCTAAGAGAGAACTAATTAAAAAAAAATATATATAGTGCAAAAATTGTTTAAACCTAAATTGCCAATCATAGAACAAACCTTAAGTTTAACGGAGGTACGCTTTTTATTCCATTTCTCTCTGGGTTGACCTGGACGGAAGCTAGTGAGATCCTTTTCCTCGTTACCGAGCAGCGACAAATCGAATCTGCCCAACTGCCTCAGAATAAACGCGATTACGTCCGAAGATTCCCAATAACTGGCGTGGAAGAGATGTGGCAAGGCATTTGTAGGAAAATTAGCGAGACCCTCTGGACAGTAGAGAGCGTAATCTAATCTTTTAGTGCCCCACCACTTTTGCGTCACTGAAACAAGGTAATAATAAATGTTTTAAACAATTTCAAAATCTTAATAAAAGATCAATGCACTTGCTTTGAAAGACTGTTGCAATTTAAAATTTTTCAAGTTTGTATAGATGTCTGCTACTAATAGTAGAAGCTGAAAATAAATATAGTAATATAAATTTTTACTTACGAGCAGACACCGCTTGTAAAGGAACATTATCGATAATGCCCGACATTGTACTTTGAATCGATATATCGGATAGTCTTCTTAAATGCATTTGAATATTAGGAATGTTGAGACCGTCAGCGAACAGTTGCGGATTTGTCTGGATAGTCTCCACTGAAATCAAATTTATCTCATTGACCAATTTATATTATCAATTTATCAAATTTAAATCAAAAGATTTGAGTTTTGTTTCTTATAATTTAATTTACAATCCTAATATCCACTTACGTAAGTGATAAGGTTGGCCGTTGCCGAGCGGATACTTTTGATATCGAGCGATATTGACTGGCGGTATCAACGAGAACCTCGCCGAGATTAAGGGTTCCAATCTCGCGGCCACGGGATCCGTGGGATGGAACAGATTGTGTACTTGATTGACCAACGGCCTAGGTATGAAGCTATTTCTGTCAGCGGACGCGGTCTTCCTGTAGGCGAGAACCAGCGCGAGCGGACTGCCAAACGTAAATAAGTCACCTACCTCGAAGTCTAGTTTGTTATGGTCGCTGCAAATAAATGCCCTTAATTAACACTTTCGTAGTTATGGATATTAATTCTATGTTCGCATGTCAAAGATTTGAAATATTTTGATATTGAATCGTGAAATATAATATCTTTCCCGTTTTATCCTTTTTTTAGGATTATTAAAAAAAAAATTTCATCATTGACATAGTATCACCTCTCTGGTATCACTCACCCTGTGCCGGAAGATCTTCTTCTAGGAGATGGCGCGGAAAGATGTTTGACGTCTTCGGCATTACCGTCGTTGCTTTGCTGCTGGCTGCTACCACCTTCTAGGATACTGTTCTCGCTACTATGCCTCGAGTGCTGCGTCGCTCTGCTTAGGGCATCGTAAGCCAGAATCGAGCCTACCGAGTCGCCTACGAAGCAAATCTGCCCGCTGAAGCCTTTACCCTCTTCGCTCTTGACGAAATCATGATACACTTGATTGGCAGCCAGCACTACGCGCGATACCGCGTCCTGATAGTCGGAACTCGAACTCGCCAACAACGGAATCGCGCCGATCGGGATAGTATCGTGTGTAACTTGCGGCGCGTCCATGCACGATGGTGATACGTCAAAACTGTACGGACTCAGACTGTACAACAAGATTATTACAGTTACATTATGGTACTTGTGGTAATTGGTTCTAATAAAAAAGGCATTTAAATGCGATATATTACCTGGATAAAATTCCAAGACCTTCGGTACAAATGGAAGGACAAGCGACGAATTTGACTGATACATGTCCGACCATGCTGGGATAATGCTGCCTCATTACGGATTCAAAAGCTCCGCGGAATGTTGTTATGTCTGACTTCTTTGCGGTTAAATCGACATTCGCGTCTGAAATACAGAAGCGTGATTTTATATACAAGTTCTATATCAATTGTTTATATAATAAAAAAGTATGTAAAGTAAAGAAAAATATATCAACAGTTATTAAATTTAAAAAATAATAATTTGCTTGAATTATACAAATTATATTTAGATTTTCAACTAAATGTAAATTGAAAATAAATACTCATATATTTCTACTAAAATAAAGAAAGTATATTATTAACCTAAAACACTGCCACCGTGTATCACGATGATTAAGACGGTAATTTTGCACGGTTGATGCGTAGGAGAATGTTGAGGGGATGTTGGACACGACACGTCAATACTGGTTGACGTGCGGATCTGCAGTCTCTTACTATTTCTCTCGCTGGCGACGCGTTGCAGATACGACGATGAAAATATTGTGTCTTCTGCAAAATATGAAAGAATAAGAAAGAAACAATATAAAACTCCAGTAGACTTATATATATATTAAAATGCCATATATAAAAACATAGTTGAAAAAATATATATTTCACGCAATATTATGTTATAAAGATTTTTTAATATACCAACCTTGCTCGTTTGCTGCAGATGGTGTTCGCGTAGTCGTGTCGTCCCCTTCTGCTAGAAGATCCAAAGAACTCCATTTAGCTAATGAGGAGTTATCTTCAAAGTCCTCTGTATAATCAGAAACGTTAACGCTGCTTATGCAATGCGTCTCTCCGATTAATCGCGAAACAGGACTTTCGTAATAAAATATATAGATTATAAGAATAATATTCAACAATCTACTCAATGCAATATTTTAAAGAGCATAATATCTATATTAGAAAAAATAATAATTTTATATTATAATATAAATTCGAAATTACATAAAATATAATTTTTAAGGTACAAATCCAACTTTAATTGCGATAAAAATTATTCGAATTCTAGATTATATAGAAGTCGTGTGTCATTCTATTTGATGCAATATATAAAACTCTATCTAATGTATGCAAAATGAATCGATTTGTCAGTCGCTAAATAAATTTTTTTTCACTACATGAAGTAGCCATGCTGCCACATGCCATATACGCGAATCTTTCGCAAATTCTATTTGTTTTAATCACATGCTCGATTCTAATTGTTAATCGAAGAATGCAAATTTTAATATATATGCGCCAAACAAGCCGATTTGTCGCATCGTCTACGTTTCTCGTATTTTAAGATCATTGTATATCCTTAATATATAGAGTGACGTCCTTTCGCAATTGATCTCGCGCTTGCTACTTAATCACTCTACGTGTCCTACCTTTGCGTATAACAGGTATAATGAACCCAGCTGCAGTATGGGATGCGACATAAAAAACAAAGAGGATAACACATAAAAACGCAGCACATGCTGTCCTATATAGCTTCAGTTATCTATATATGCATTATTTCACAGAACACACTTCTTTCGTATGAATTATCAACAAGTAGCTCATCAAGATCTATTAATATCATCAAATATAAATTATAAAAAAATTTGTGAATACAAAAGAATTATTTATTATAACTCAAAATGCACACGTATTAAACTTATTATTATTTATTTTTCACGTTAAATAACATTTTGTAGTATAAGATATATCGATATTCAAATATTGTTATATCTGATAGATTTGAAATTGATCCGGTATGTAAGCTCAAAGTCTCTTAAACATCTCTCTTGTTCGTATCATTTCAGAATTTGTATCAATGTATTGTAAAATCCGTTACAACGGAAAGCAGTGTGCCGCGGAAACATTAACTATCATTCATTTGATGATGAATCGTGTGTCAAACGTTTCTCTCTCTCTAGATTATCACAAGCGCATGCTACGCGTGCGCGCGTGAAATAATAGTTTTACCTTGACAATCGAAGAATTCGTCATCGCTACCAGATTCGGATTCCCTAACGATGCTCTCCATCCTCCAGTTCGCGATTTGGATATCAAAGTTCTTGTTGGAGCTCGGCGAGTGCAAATGCACATTGTTCTTTCTCCACTCCTTCTTCGCATCGCTCCTCGCGGTTCTGCAACGTAGCTCGCTTAATTAATTTCGGCTTCTTTTATAATTTTAATAATATACAAACTCCGATACTATACATCCGCGTTAATGGCAAATAATAATCGTTCATGTCACTGTGTTATCACCCGAAATAAACTCCTTTGTTGCCGCAGTTAAGCTGCTTACAGCAAACAATTAATATCAGAAGTTGGTGCACTCTGACAGTTATATCTTATCATATCGAGAGTAATAAACTGGCGATTAGAATATTCGATATATAAAATAACCAGTATCGTATCAACGCACTAATTTTAAGATCGCACCTAATAAGTATCTTATTAGTCAATAAAGGCAAAAAAAATATAAAGATATAATTATGTAGATTTGCACCAAAATCATTTTCTCAAACATCTCTCAATCATTTAGCAATCAAACGATCATTTCATATACTTTTAGATGTTACTAAATTTGCCACTGTTTAAAATAACTAAAATCGAAACCAATTAAGACGGTTTAAAATATCTATTTCAGAAATGAGATGTCGAGGCAACCGCGTAGAAACAAGATATTTTATCGTAAGACAAATATGGGAGACTAATCGTGAATAATCTTACTTAATCTCGTTGACGTCAACCGGCGAGTCTTCGGGACTGATTTCGCCCTCGGAGCTGGCCGCCGTGTTAATGATGGGAATGTCGGACGGCTTCCTGACGGACAGCGGACTCTGCGTCTCCTCCTTTTCAATGCTGCCCAGGGTGGCCGCCAATGTCTTGGCGACATCCGAATCCGGGGACGACATCGAGGCGTTTGCCGTGACCGGGGTCGCCGGGGTCGCCGTCGTTGTCATCGTCGTCGTTGTCATCGTCCTCGTTTCCCTCGTCTCGTTCTCCTCAAGCTCCTCGTCCATCGAATCGCCGAGTCCCATCTTGCGCTGCAACGCAAGCTGCGTCTGCCGTTCGATCTCCCTTATGTCCTCCATCGTCAGACCGTTCCACTCGTCCTGCCAGGCCCAGGCCTGTCTGTGCGCCCGCACCATCGTCTTCCGCAGAGCTGGAACCGACCTTAATACGTCTCACGCACGGCCGCACGGATGCGCCGGTTAAAATTAACCCTTCCGATCACGACCTGTGTTGCGAGGAAAAATTTCCAGCGGCAACGTTCGCGCATCACGTGCGCGTAAAGCCGAGAGTAATAGCGAATCGATAATAATAATAATCCGTCTTTAATTATGCTAATTCCAAAGTAAATCGGCAACAAAGTTTCTTACAGTCTTTACTTTTTCAATTAATTTCAGCCGACAAGCCTTCGTCGATAAATCTAAATTACTTAATTAAAACATGTGTCACGAAAAAATTCAAAAAAATTAAAAATACCGAAGATTTAAAGATTCTTTAACAGAGTCATGATCGAAAGGTTTAATCCTTTAGTTGCCGGACTCTTTATGTGATGAAACATTATTCATAAAAAAGCGAAAAAATATGAATCAATACATAAATTACAATGCCATATATAGAATATATCAGAGAGCGTGCATTTTTTTAGCGAATTGTGACATAACATTATTATATTTCATAATTTTTCTCTTTGTAATATTAAATATTCCATAATAATTATCCATAAAATTGAAATCAAGATTCGATTATAATCCTCAAAATTAATTAAAAACTAATATTACTGTGGCTACATACACATTGCTGCTTCATTATTGCACAAAATAAAATTCTTTTTAATTAATATATATATATATATATATATATATATATATATATATATATATATTATTTTCGATATACAAAATGCACGACTTATGAACCATTTTATATTACATTAAACGAGATTGTGAATCATTAGTATTACAAAGAAAATAAGTGTTTATTTTGACAAAGTTAAAGTTCTCTCGATTTCTTTTATTATAGAAAGGAAAGAGAACATGCAAAACTTTAAAAATGTCCAAAAAAATTATTTTTTTATACAATATTTTGTAAAATGTATTAAAGAGAAAGAAAGACTTGACTTCTCCCCTTTAGGAGATATCAATTGCGTTAAAATGTAATTAAATGGTAATTAAATTTGATATTGTCCGGCATCTAAAGGGCGAGAAAGGGCAGAGAGGTGAGCATATTACGGTACTAACCTACGTCGTGTATGAACTTTTCTAATTTCGTTTGCATGCCCCAATAACGGAACTCTACTCGGCATAGCTTGTATGCGCACATTAGTGACTTGCCCGACGGCGTTGGCTGTTGCTTTCCCTAAACGGCGAGAAAATTGCTAATGTATCAACGGTGAGACTACTTAAGCGGAGAAAGGTGTAAAGTTTCGAAGAAAATAAAAGAAAGAGAGAGAAATAAGAGAGAAAAGAAAGATTTATACTTCCACATCGGCCCAATAATCCTCCAGCCATGTGTCCTCCAGCGGGCCTCTTCCTGTCTTTTCCGAGACGTATAACTTGGGATCCTCTTCCTTCACATAATCGGCTCCGTAAGGCTGATCCTTGACGATGTCGATCACATCTTATCGGAACAAAACAGTTAATCGGGATAACAATGATACAATGACAATGAGTCATTACATAATTTTGTTAAGAGACGTTAAATATTTATCTATAATGATGATGAAAAATCACTAGTACTAAAAGTTATCGATAAGAAATGAGTAATAATTCATCCAAAATAATGATTTAAAAATTTGACAAACACAATTCTTTGTTAATTAAATACATTCATTTTTTAAGTTCAGATTTTAGATGTAAAATTGATTGGCAATGTTGATCGATCAAATTTAATCTCCTCTTTACCCACGATCCTGTTCCTGTAATCACTGCCGCTGAGATTGAAGACGTTCTCCTGGTGGCCATCGTCCGGGAAGTAGTAGGTTTCTATCTCGACGGAGAACTTCTCCACGAACGGACACGTGTAGCGGGTTTTGGTGTACGGATAGGCGTTCCATGCCTCTTCCTTGGCAATCAACGCCGACTTTGGTAGCAGACTCTTGAACCAACCCGGCAGATGACTACCCACGTGGTAGATCTTGTGCGTGTATTGGCCGGTACCGCCTGGACCGTCATTGTATGGCTCGTTCTCGATTATTTCCACGCCGCTGCCGGCACCTTTGCTCTCTTCCCGCGATTTTTTCTGTGCGAGTTATATCGATCACTTGAGGAGATACATCCGCTTGCCCTCTCGGCCGCGCAAGAAAAATCTATCCTTATCTTTATCAGCGAGAAAAAACCCTTCTCTTATGCACGCTAAGAAAAACGCGAGTGAAGGAAAATATAGAATAAACGTATAGGGTATAATTGCAAAATAAAATTATAATGTTTACATTATTTTGAGAAAATGATGTGTAAGATAAAAGAACGCGTTACCGAACAATCTATCGATACAGTTAATATCTAATTCTGTTCTACATGTTCTTTCTCCTGATTCTAGATTAATTCCTTAATTAAAGTTTTGTAAAAGATTAATTTTGCAGAAAAATTTTGTAAAAGATTAAACAAAAATTTATAATTTTAAAGTAAACCCTAGCGATTCTTCGTTCATTTATTTATCCGAATAATTTGGCTAGATTTGTAAAAAATATAAATATAAGTGAATCTCGCAAATTAATTAAATTACATTTTAAATTAAAAAGAAAACAAGTCAACGCAAAACTAATTAATCGTAATAATTACCGCTATCATGTACAGCTGAGCGATTCGATACTCCTCTACCGTAAGAGGTAGCGGTATGCGATATTCCTTGATCAACATTTTATCGGAGCCTGTCCTGTATCACCCGTGCATCTTTGCAAAGTGCATCTCCCCTTCAAGGATACCGGACGCCGAAGTCGCATTCGAAGTCGTCTTCGCGACATCTCCAGAGATTTTTCTCGACGGAAATCGCAAATGATGTCTCCATTTTATGTCAGTAGGTGAAATTTTCTGTAATAAAGAAATAATCTTGTCAATATCATATGTTAAAATTTAAAACATTAAAGTTATACGATTGTTGTAAAAGTTTTGCTCTTTTCTCAACAATGATTGTAGTAAAATTTTAACGAAATAGCGACAACATTCAGAAAAAAACAAAAATTGAACAAATTAAAGAGAAAATAAAAAACATGATATATAAACATGAAAATAATTTTTTCTCTTGTCATATTTTCGTATAAAAATATACTTAATGCAATAAATTAAAAGTATAATAATATTATTGATAATATTATTGTTATCGAAACTGCAAATATCTCATCGTTTCTCGATCAAATATTTTCAATTGACCTTTTTTCAAATTTATATTTAACATTTTGTCAACACACAATTCTTTCAACTAGGATATTTTATAAGTCAATAATATCAAAGAAATTATTTGACACTGAAAATTAAGTAATAAACACAATAAAACATTTTTAATATTTAAGCTGTCGCAATACAAGTTTTTTATCAATAAATTAAATTGTTTGAACAGTGATTGTCGTGTATTACGGAATATTCATGGCATACAAATCACGTCGATTGTATTATACAATGTATATCGCAAACTAGCTCTTCAAACGCAAACTACTATATCGCATCCGTCTCGATGCCGGAAATATTCCGATGTTTAGTCATAGTTAAAAGTAGCCATCAATAGCTCAAAAATAAACCGTTTGAAGAATAAAACATTCAAGTCTGTCATATCAAGCAATTGTAATCGGTAAACAATGTCTGTTTATCGAGATCATCTCTAGCTATGTAGATATATATATATAGACGCATAATTGATATCAAGTGTAAACGAATGATATACAATTATAACGTCGAATAATAAAAAATATTATTGTTATGCAAAGACAGAGAAAATTCCCAGGATCTATATCGTCTACAATCATATATAAACGTAATGAAACCGGTATTATTAACATTTTCGTATACCAAGCGAGAAACTATATTTACATAAAAACTACCCAACGTAACAATTATCCACATTATCCGCTTTCGCGTAAATAAGCGTCCAGATAGAAGCAAGGAAGAGCGGAACGTTTATTTATACGCGCAGCTATCAACCTCGCGCGAATTTAAATTAAACTTTACGCTGCGCCAGAAATTAGCCAAGAAATTAGCGACTGACGACGATTGTAAAATTGTACAAGAAATTTTACGTCCGCAAATTTTAATCGTCGCGCATTATTTTTACTCGACATTACAGTTAGAAGCAGAATATATGAATGATGAAATGTCAAACATACTATTTAACATGCGGCGTAGTTTCCGGAAGAAATATTTTCAATTCTTTCTCTATCTCTTTCTTTGAATCTCTTTCTCATATTCAGATTATTATATGTGGAATTATTTCCTTGTCACAATTTTTGCGCGAAAGGTACGCGTATTTCGCTCCACCAGTTTGCGAAAACTTTCAATCACGCTCACTGAATAATAATTAATCCTTCGATCAATACCGTTAAATTTGCTCCGATCGTTGCTTCTCGCACAGAAAAAGATCTTTGTAAATAATCTCCTTAAACATCTCCGGAATCGATGAAACAATACAATAAATAATATAGCTTTTATCAATCAAACTCTTATTTTCTACTTTTCTTTGTCAAAGAAAATGTCAACGCGGTTTATATCCACGATAAATAAACGATAGAAGGAAATGTGTGTTATTGTCTTACGATGTGTGTGTACCTATATGTGTGCGTGTGTTTATTGTAATCTTCTTTTCTCAAAAGCATTAGAGAAAAACGATATCGTAGAGACATCAAACTCAAGTATTCACTTAAATCTCGTATAAACGTTAGCAAATAAAAAGATATCGCTATACACAAAATAAAAATAACGATATATTATATGTCGCAATCGACTGAATTCAGCACTTTTTTTACATCATCAAATTTATATTACCTCGACTAGAAAAGAGAGTATAGACGTCGTTCACGTGTGTCACACTTTCTCGAAAAATTTACAAATTGTATTAATATAAATCATGAAAGTAAGAGAAAGAAACAACATCGAGCGCACATTATGTCACAATGAAGATGACAACGATGATGATAGAGGTAGCGATTGAAAAGTATTAAGGGCGGCTGGGGATGAAACGACACGTCGAGAGAGGCATGCAAAACACGCACGCGAACGCGGTGACGCGCTGCCACCGACTGACCCGAGCCGAGTGACGACGGTGAAGCGACGACGGAGGTTGCTCGATTGGCGGCGCGATCGCGCCGCGCGACTCATCGAACCCGCGAAATCGTCGCCGACCAATCGGAGGAGTTCCTCCTAACCCCGCGACTAGCTCGCGCGAACAGGGCCGTAAATTAAACGGCGCCGATCAACAAACATGTGTGTCATCTCACAAGCGTGTGTGGCCAACTTATACGCGTGGCCTGACAAATTTGCATATCGACGTAGATTCTTTCGAAAAACTTGCTCAATCATCGAGCTCCAACACAGTTGTCTGTCGTATAATTTCATACATAGTTTTGGGCGAAATATACATGCCATTTCTTTGTATCCTACATTGATAAAATAAATAAACTAATATATGTATATAAAAGGAGATTATATACGATTTACAGAATTAATCTTCCCCCTTTTTCAAAGAATCCTCGCAATTGTTCTCTACAATGCAACGACACGATCGTCGTTGCGATATATTTGCGATAAGAAGGCGTAAACAAAAGCAAGAAACGCGCGTGTTTAAAACGCCGACTGATGAAGCGCGAGGAGATTCAGCCGCGAGAGAGAGGGCGAGACAATTTCGTCCGCGGATTCGCACACCCCCACAAAGGGGATGGGAGTGAGAGGGGACTGTTTTCAGATAATAGAGACGCGATACCGGAGATTAGTTGTTAGATAATAGAAATGTGACGCCAGGGTGGTTTAACTCGCCGCTAGCCCGGACACAAGCACCTCAAACCACCTCGTCGCGGTCGCCTCCTCCGTCACCTCTCCCGGTCTATTGATCGTCCCCGAACAACCAAGAAGGCGCGAGACCAGCTGCGTCCCACTCGCGATCTTCTCCCTCCAGCTAGCTAATAACTGCTTTCCCCCGCGAGAAGACGAGATCGGCGTGCGCGATCGTCTCCACCTTTTATCCTTCATGACTTTATGGGGATGTCTACTTTGTTTCTGTTGTCGCCTCGCGTGCCTCGATTTAACAGATGCACACGTCTTTCGTCTCATTTCGACAATTCAATTCTATCTCCCTGTAACAACTTCTTTCGCAAACTATATATGTATATGTACATCTTTTGGCCATCAAAAAGCAAACCGTCTCTCATCGCACAATAATTGATTATCATTTAGAATAATCTTCACAATTAATTGTTGATCGCCAGTGATAAATTTTAACAAATAATAAGATGCAATTTAATTGGACCAAAAACTGGCTATTTATTTATTGAAAATAAGTACACACTACGTTTCGACCCACATTGTGGTCCTTTTCAAGTGCTAGAATACAAAAATACATAATTTGGCAAGCAAAATTAACATTACATTAACACTAAATTTGATCTGTAATACATACTTGTTGCCAAATTATGTATTTTTGTATTCTAGCACTTGAAAAGGACCACAATGTGGGTCGAAACGTAGTGTGTACTTATTTTCAATAAATGAATAATCAGTTTTTGGTCGCATTAAATTGCATCTTATTATTTAGAATAATGATCTAACAAAATAGTATTCAAACACGAAACAACGCATTTTTTGATTTTAAAACTTTTACATAGTACAGTTTTAAGCGACTATTTTTTTATTATAATTTCAAATAAACAAGTAGCCTCAAATTATGTCTATGCTGAAGAGTACGATCGCTTTTATACGACTGAGACTGAGTTGGCTTCTATATGCAGATTTAATATTTCACGTATGATTTTCCTATCTCCTTCTCTTGCGGACGAGGAAGATTGATTAAAAATTAAAGCGACTATCGCGCGTATGTCGAGCAGACGAGTCCTCATATTCCTCTCGCCCTCATTTCCAGCTGCCACTAGCAGGATCATGCAGGATCACTTCGACTAATTGCCCGTCTTCTTGTAGGGCATTTCATTCGGATCCTCGACTTCATAACCATGCGGTGGCACTGGATTTTTCACGGGATTATGGAAAAGCGTGTGATTACCATCGCCCCAAGGAAATGGCTGTTGAAAGAAACGAAGAATTAAAAATAAATAGAGATTTTTTAACTACACACATTCGAATTATTTTTTTTTAAGCTATAATAATATTTTTTTTCATTATGATTGCGATTCATTATCTGTCGGATAAGGCAACACGATAATAATTTTACATTATCCTGATTTTCTGACGGAATTAAATTAATTTTTTAAATAAATAAATTATGATTAATTAGCTTAATTTTTAAAAAGTTACTAAAAAAGTAAACATGCTATAGAAAATAAAATTGAGAATACAGATCGTAAAACTGGTTTCTCTGTCGTTTTCTCGTTTGAAAATTGCACGAAATATAATAAGAAATGCAAAATCTAAAATATATAAGTGAATTAGAGTAAAGTCAATGAAATCATGGGTCTTCGTTAATCAATAATAAAGACTACTAGAAAAATAGGTCTAGCCGTTGAAAACGCGCAATAAACTACTACAACACATATAAACACGAATAAAAAGTGTCCCAAAGAAAAAGGAAGCAATATGATCTGTAATATAATTTTAATGATATATATGATTTAATATAATTATATGTAATATGATTTAATTATTTATATGATTTATATGTAATATGATTTAATGATAAATAAAAGATGCCCTAAACATGACAGATAAATAATGTAGTACATTTATAAAAATATCTACCGTTATTCTTTAACACTCTAAATTTTCGTTTGTAGACTCGATCGCGAGATTCTCGTTAAGAAATTTATATGGCATTTAGGTGACATTTCGCCAATGTTTGCAACGACGATGAAAAGATTTTTCTCGAGTTCCGGACAGTGTCG